ACCTTGCACCTTGGCCGGCCACGTATATTTACCAAAGTGGGTGAGAGTTGAGTGGAGCATGTAGCCGGTGTGTGCCGCCAGTCCGTTATATGAGCCGAAGGCCATTCGAAATTCGTTGATCCGCTGGCCCACATATTATTATTATCCCTCTCTCTCTCTCTCTCTTTGCGATTCTTCTTATGTACGTAGTTTCTCTATTGGTGGGTACCTGATTACTCGTCGTCTCGGTGATCGTTATCGTCGTCATCACGTACGGACGAATAAAGTAGGCATACAATATAATACATGCGTTACAGAAATGGTTTCGAACTCCTTGAATCGAAAAATCGGTATGGAAAAAAAAAAAAAAATTACCAGCACTCGAGAATCTTTTCGGTAGGTGCGTCTTGTGAACAATAGATCATATAGCTCCCAGCGAGCAAGTGGTGCTCCAATTGGCACGCCGCGAGTCTTTGCGAAAGTGAATTAAACAGCGAACGGACGAACGCTCGGTTTGCACGTATTGTTATTATTGTTTAGCATACGGTGAGCCAAGTAAGTATCGGGCTAAAGTACAATACGCGCTGATTTAATTGACAGGGGTGTCGTCCCGCATAACTGCGACAAATGGCACTTTTGTGCCATACATAAGAATTCACCTGCTCGGATGCGTATACATATATATACACACATAGGCATTTAATAGCGACTGTCTGCACAATCAGCTCGTATGATAATGTGTAAAATAGCGTGTGCCGATGCGTGCGTTGTTGTGCATACAAAGCAAAGCTTAAAAAGTACATATCTGACACAGGGAGCTCGAAAGGCGTAGGACACCATGTGCCTATACGGCTACCGTATAATAATACTAGACAATGCTGCGGTCTAGCTTCTTGCGAAACAGGTATTATGTACATAACATGCGTGTGTATACATACACGTAACATTGTAGTTTAGAAGGGGTATGTAGGTAGTGGTGGAGACAGAGTAGGCGATTGACTGATGCCGCTGTGTCACCGCACTGCCTATACATATGCATAAGTAGGTATATAGACTGCAACTCAACAGATCCCAACTTAGAGGGAAAGAGAGCTTTTTTTTTTTTTTTTTTTTTTTTAAGGCGATTGCTAGAAAAAAAGGAAAAAAAAAACAAGATGATTGTTTTGCCGATAGTCTGATTGACCAATCAAATAATGTGTATGATATATATACAGTTGCAGGGATTGAACGTAGTATATTAGCGATGAAAAATAAAAAAGTTTCGGAGGGGTTGAGTGGTTTTTACGCACGAGGGGACTGCAAAAAAGCGCAGGAGAGTTATTACTGCTCGCTTCACGAATCGGAGATGCGTATGTACATAATATATATATATATATTTGCGTAGCACAGAAATAAGGAGCATAAATATTGCAGTCAATGGCGGTGAGTCAGTGCAGGAGCTTTTGTCAAGCAAACTCAAACGCATATATAGGCGCATATATTTATAGTTGTGCAAACGCGCGTGCACTGCGTGTATATATATATATATATA